ACAACCATTCAGAAGATCTTGCATGAAGCGCTTGGTGTGAGAAAGTTAGTTTGCCGTTGGATACCGCATCTGCTTTCCGACGATCACAAGGCGGCCCGCGTCAGATGGTGTAAGAAAACTCTGCAAAGGTTCAACCGAGGAGAGTCAAATCACGTCTACGACATCATCAGTGGTGACGAATCTTGGATCTATGCCTACGATCCTGATTCCAAACAACAATCTACAATCTGGGTCTTTCAAGACGAGCCAAAGCCGACTAAAGTTTTTCGTTCTCGAAGCACTTCAAAGAAGATGGTGGCCACGTTCGTTGGAAAAACCGGCCATGTTGCGACTATTGCACTTGAAGATCGTAGAACGGTTAACGCAGAGTGGTATACCACAGTTTGTTTACCACAAGTCATCGCCGAACTTCGAAAATCTAACTCAAAGCGACGCATCATCCTGCACCACGACAACGCAAGCTCACACAGCGCTCGTCAAACGATTAAGTATTTGAAGCAGGAAAAAGTAGAAATTCTTGACCATCCTCCATACAGTCCTGACCTAAGCCCTAACGATTTCTTTACATTTCCTAAAATTAAGAAAAATCTTCGTGGTCAAAGGTTCCAGTCCGGTGAAGAAGCAGTCGACGCTTTCAAGTCAGTCATTTTGAACACCCCCACTTTAGAGTGGAATAAATGTTATAATAACTGGTTTGAGCAAATGGAAAAGTGTATTAAGCTACGTGGTGAATACTTTGAAAAACAATAAAAAGTACTATAAAGTACTAGTTGTGTTTTTTTCTTCAAACGACAAAACTTAAAAGGCATGCCTCGTACTTAATTGCTTATTATTTCTGGTGGATGACTCGACAGAAATGTTCATTGACTTTAATTTGAATTACATAAGCTACATTATAGATAGGTACATACATACACAAAGTCCATCCATTTGTAAACAAAACATAAGTTACGAGGTATACTTATGGCTGATATCAAAGCAAAATATTATAATAATTAAAACTAAAACTTCTTTTATTTTTATTGGTATTAACAATTTACAATTTAGCTACTCACGATTACCGATAATGAAACTTTTTACTGTAACACGGTTACGCCAAGTTAAGGAAAAGCAAGCCTTACACAATATGTAAATCATTTGCTTTAAATTTTATACAGAGTGATTAATATATATATATATATATATATATATATATATATATATATATATATATATCTATACTTATTATAAAAATAAGTCCCCCGGCCGCGTCTTTCTGTCCTCCTGTCTGTCCTCCTGTCTGTCCTCCTGTCTGTCTGAACGCGATAAACTCGAAAACTACTGAACGGATTTTTATACGGTTTTCAACAATAGAAAGAGTAATTCTTGAGGAAGGTTTAGGTATATAATTTATTATGCTTTTATGTAAATTAGCTGAAATACGGCGACAAATGTTGAAGAGGTCGCAAAAAATCTCGCCAAATGGGAACTTTCCACGCGAACGCCGCGTAAACTAGCAAAGATACAGTTAAGTAATGTACTAGAGAATTCAAAATCTATAAAAATGCTACAAAAAAGTCCGCGATAGCATATCTCTATCTCTTACGGTTGACTTACAATAACCACTTTTATGTTAACATTTTTAATTAAAAACATTACGTTATTTTCAAAGTTATTTTCTTTAGTTCGGTATTAATCCTTATCCAAATGAATATTTTAGTTAGCTTAGTCATTTAATGCAGATTAAAATTGCTCTTTACACTAAATCAATCAGATGAATAGTTTTTGAGATATCGTTGTTAGAAGTAATTAGTAGCGAAACATTTTTAATGCTTGGCGAGCATTGAGATGCCTACGGCGAGTCCATCCCCTCTGCCCCGCATCGCTCGACCGCCTGCTCAAGCTATATAAACCGGGCGATGTAGCGCGCGATCCTAGGATACTTTTTACCGCGGGAAAATATCTTATTTCTGAGGAAAAATACAAAAACTGCAATGTAAGAGTATACTAATATGTAACACCTAAGAATTTAGTTTTTGGTCATCTGAACGCGGGCGGAGCCGCGGGCAATGCTAGTATATATATATATATATATATATTATACTTTTTGCCGATGACTCCGCTCACGTAGTAAAAAAGACGTTGAGGTTATTATAATTTATAAAATAATAAGTTATCCGAATTTATCTCAAATCCATATAGAGAGTTAGAACTAGCTTCTTTCGTATGATCATTATATAAGTGTCATTGTTAATAAAAAATTGGTGCGTGAAACCTTTACGTGCGGTTGAAGTAAAACTTTTTTGTCAAATATCGCAATCAAATTTAAACAAATAAATAAATAAATAAAAGGTATATTACAATCATATATTTATAGAATATCATTTCAATTCGTTCTTTTGTTCGAACTTAAGTTCAAGTTACACTTCAAAATCTATACCTATAATAAAATTGTAACAAAGTCGAATCTGTACATTAAATATTTTTTGGAAAATCTAATTGAAATAGACATTATTATCGATACAGAGTCCAAATCTATAGTTTTTAGAATTTTTTCTGTCTGTCTGTTACCGCATCACGGTAAAACCACTGGAAGGATTTTGATGAAATTTGGTATGGCGATAGCTGGTTATCCGAGTCAACTACTTTTTACCGCGGAAAAATATCTCATTTCTGAGAAAAAAACAAAAACTGCAATTAAGAGTATACTAATATGTAAAACCTAAGAATAGGTACCTCTTTGTCGACTAAATAAAAGTTGGTGGACGTTGGTTGGAAAGTTTTACTGCATCCTCCATACAGTGCAGCCAGACAAAGCACCTTTCGATTAGCGACTCACCCACGCTTTGGGTTCAAAAAAAAATCTATCCCACGAGAACCGTACATTTTTCCGGGATCATATGAGTATAGCCGCTAGCCTTCCTCCATAAACGGGCTATCTAATGCAAAAAGATTTTTCCTAATCGGATTAGTAGTTCCTGAGATAAGAGTGTTCAAACAAACAAACTCTGTCTCTTAGAATAGATTCCGCTCGTTGCAAAATTCTTTAAATGGAATAAAATTACATTCAAGGGAAGACTATAAATAATTTAAATCAGTTTTTCGCTCAGAAACCCCAAAATTTTTATAGCGACGGAATAATGGTTCCGCCACAAAAATGGCGAAAGATTGTCGAATTAAATGGACATTATTTTATTCAATAAACATTTTATGTAACTGAAAAGAAACCTTTATTATTTTTACTACAAAAAGTCCGCGAACTTTTCCGAGTACATAATATTTAAACGAATAATTCCAATAATATGGTTATTTTAAAATGTATTTTAATTTTAACACAACCTGTTCAATTTGAATATAATATTTAAATTTAAAATATTCAGTCGAAGGAAGAGCTAAAGTTCAATCGATTCCGACTTGCTTGGCCGTTGGACGTGTAAAATGCGTTCAGGTATTTGTTATACAATATATATATATATATATATATATATATATATATATATATATATATATATCTGTATTTATATCGTGAATATTCTGTTTTTTTTGTGTGATACTGTGTGAAAATTTTGTTAAGTTTAAAAAAAAATTTAGTAGATAAATAATAATATGTAGGTATACAAATGTAATCGTAATATAATTTTGTGTCGTCATCAAATATGTTGCATCGAGGAAACTTACTTTCCTTTTGCCGCGAGAAATGAATGTTTACCTTATCATCATGAGTTCCGTAAAGTTGGTATACGAAATGTTAGCATTTGAAAGTGATTTTATTCCCTCCACGACCGCGGATACGCCGGCGTGTCTGTTAACAATAGATTTCTTAGAATTTTAATTAATTTCTTAGAAATTTACCTGGAGGTGTATTATAATCATAGCCTATGATCTTCACTTACCTCATTGATTGAAAAAGCTGCTGGTAAATAGCTATAAGCAAGTGCTAGAGTAACTTTTAAAAAAAACGGATGGGGCTGTATCGGGGCACACCGCCATTGGTTTATCGTGAAACGTCTATTTCAGCGAGTCGCTTTTAGTGTTAAGGACTGGAATGAAAAAAAAATTGACTTCGTTCTATTTATTTTAATACCATACTGACAGTGAATAGGTAGTGTATTAGTATATAAAGATTTTTCGATTAATATTGGACAATAATATTGTTAAAAATTGATCTGTGATATAAGAAATAAGAAATATGTTGTTTACTAAGCGTGTTTTGGTAGCTCTGAGACGATCTTAGAAGAACCTTGCTCGCTCGCTCGGATACTGGGCTACCTATGCGAAGCCCATTTAATCTCCGGTGATTTATATTTTCGGCTGCCTACGGCACGAGCTGAGGTTAACATATGGAATTTTATATTTTTTATACAACTCTTGGTTATTATTTCTTATAAATTTCGTCCGAATTACACGCAATTTTTATTTAAATCATTCGGTCGGACTTCATTCTATAAACACATTATAAAATCACGGCGCTATCACGTGTGTCGTGACTCGTGAGTTACACCGAATAGAAAGGATCGAGAATGGCAATTTCGGTTATTCTGCACAGTGCCCTATCCCATCGACCCCGCCCAACCCTGATGCAAAATCATGGTCACAACTGCGAGCTGACTATATAAGCTAAATAATGATACTAGATTTATATTTTTTTAAATAATAGTTTTGTAATTATTAACGTAAGATGATATAGACCATTTCGTTAGGTCCACCACTTTTCTGATCGATCGTTCGCATGTTTCGACGTGATTTTAAAGACGTTTCACGTCAATAATAAATATAAAGTACAAAACATAAGTAAAATAATAGTAATGTAAATAATTTAAAATTAGAAAACTGAAATTATACTAAGTAGTACCTATATAAATATTTATATTTGTGAAGTCAGTTAAAACGTCTTATTTACCAATGTGCTGTGCATTTAATGTGTATTTTGTGTTTTTTATATATTTTATGTGTATATTAAAATTATGCATTATCAATACATAACCCATAAGTTGATGTAATGTACCTTTTTTTGTTTCCAGGAGAACAAGGTCCCTAAACGCGCCATCTCCAATTCAACAATTTGGACCATGTGGCAGAATAATGAAGAACTCAGCTATGGTTATGTAAGTTGTAATTAAGCTTTTTACTATTAATACCATAAATAATTTTGATGATAATGAATACTCGCCTACATAATATACCTATACATACGTACTTACATACATACATATATATGTACGTACAAATATTTCGTTATGTTTAACATCCCATACTACGCGATTCGCGAGTTTTTCGCGTAATTCGCGAAATAATCCGAAAAAATACCTACTTTTATTTAAAATGTCAAGTATTCGCGTAAATCTAAGAGAGTATTATCCTATACTTTTTAAAATTTTCAATCCTAGTAATACTTAAAAAAGAGAAAGTTTTTGAGAATGTGTCGATGTATATTCAGATTTCAGGCCCAATCCACTAAAGAAACTTTATAAACAAAGAACTGTCATAATTATGTCAATTTAGATAGATAACGGCGGAGCTAGTGATATCATTCACTTAACAAAGTTATCGAATGAAATCGGTTTATTATTTATTTAATATTGATAAGTAGTTAATATGGGACCTGGGTTCGAGTCTCGGGTCGGGCCACGAATGAATATAAAATTAGTTTATAACAGATTTTATTCAAAGTTTTCACAATTGCTTTAATGTAATCAGGTCTCATATAAATGGTAGCTGTGTGATTATTTCTTAAAATCTTTTTAAAAAAACCATAAATAATAAAAATGCAACCGTAAAGTATATAAAATATTTATTTTTGTTATTTGTACATAAAATAATATTCAATTTATATTTTTATCTATCAACTAAGATATATAGGTCAGCTTTATAAACAATGGTCTTTAATAGCATAATTTAAATAGAAGTAACTTTAGCGATTCTTTTTATTTGTAAATAATAGTTCTTATAATTTTTTTTATAATAATAACTTTACAAATACGTTATCTGTGATTATCAAATACGTATAAGCTATACAAAAAAGCACCCCCCCCCCCCTTAAATTTTACATTTTTAAAACATAGAACTTTTTGACAGATTCGTCAAATGGCCGAAATTTTTGATAATATATTTTTGTGTGTAAATTATTATAAATTTTATAGTTTTAACTGCGAAGTGTTTTAAATATCAAAAGTTTAAATCCTAAAATAACTAACAAATGAGTTAAAGTTTGTAAATTCTTCGGGGAAGTGTGTATATTTTATCGAACAAATATTTGTTAATATTATTTTTTTTAGTTAGGTAATTGGGACAGAATATACGTTTGTTACTCCCTTACGCAAAAACCACTGAATGTATTTTTTACACTAAAATAGATATACATATATACATAGTAGAGTAATACATAAATAAACTCCCTCTTAAATTTATATGGTTATATGTATATATTTTTTTACTTTTAGTCATAACCGTTTTAAACACAAAGTATAATAGGTAGGTGTATATTTTTAATTAACATATATTAAAACGGCCTAAGCATTGAGATGCGAGAGTCGAATGATAAAATTTTATTACTTTAAAAATAAAATAGGACAATCGCATGAAAGCAAGCGACCCATAAATAATACCATGTATACTCACAACCGTATAATACAGTACATGGAGGCTTTTATGAAAGCACTAAGAATGGAAGCGTCACAATGCGCTTTTTAGGTCATACTCGTTTCAAAATTGCAAATCTATTTCCCGCATATTTTTAAATGTTCACTATTTTCCCATAATTGAACCTACAGGCTTATAAAGATTGACTAAGTAATATTTACTTTTTTGATTAAAAATGGCTACTGTAGACTGATTCACATTATTTATACAGTCTTATAAAAAAAATATCACTGGTTGAAAATTATTTACTGAATATTTGAAAAAAAAAACTTAATGATGATGATAATGAATGCTTGGGATGTACCTGATTGAGGCCGTGTAAAGGAACAATGAGATTTTTTTATAATCTAAATGATATGAGATATATCATAAGGTCCTCCTTCTAGAGCTCGATAGAAGGTATTTTGTTTAGTTTTGAATTGAAATTCATAGTATACATACAGGCAGTATGCTCGAAAACAGCTTACGGTACATAGTTTTGTTTTTAAAGATAGCTTCACGGTATACCTAACAAGGATGACATCGAAAGCTTTCTTTGATTTAAGAGTATAATATAATTATTTAAGAGTATATCTCTACAAAACTTTAACTAATTTTGACGATACAGTGTATGCAGCTCTATCATAAAATAAGAATTATACAGGTCAGTTGCATCTAATATTGAAATAAACGCTAATGATGTTTGTAATTGACGACAGGCTTGGCTTAGTTTGTAGTGACCCTACTTGCTGTGCCAGCGGTCGCGGGTTCGAGTCACGTTGGGGATGATTTGTGTGATGAGTACCAATATTTGCACTCCAGTCATGGGTGTTTATATTTATAATATGTATATATTTAAAAGTTATGTATGTGTAGTGTATCAACTATCTAGTATCCATAACACAGGCCTCGTAGCTTACCATGGAACTAGATGGTGCTGTGTGTTAATGTCCTATCATACTTCATATATTATTTTTTCAGGCAAATCCAAGACCCGGCGTCACAAAGGCTGACATGGTACAAGCCACCATTAACGGTGCTCGTTATAAAAAAGGTGCACGATGCGACCATTCTAACACCATTTGTTCAACTAGTTCATTGGCTTGTCCATGTAAGTTTACATTCTTTTACTACTAACCCAGTGGTGTCTATAGCATTCCTTCGCATTTATATTATGTATGTATTTACATTATGTATGTATTTAAAGTTATATATGTGTAGTATATCAACTATCTGGTATCCATAACACAAGCCTCGTAGCTTACCATGGAACTAGATGGTGTTGTGTATTAATGTCCCAACATATTTATTTATTTTTTATTTATATTTTCGCATTTACTTATTTAAGTAAAATATTTTTGAACTAGCGACTTAGGTACGTTTTCAATTAGTAAAAATAGTTTTTGTGAGTGTATCTTAGGAGATATACACATGCTATCGCAAACTCTTTCGTGCAATCGTAAATTCGAATTTTGCCTACTTTTTAAGGGTTTTCGATTTTCCCGTTAGAACTGTTGTAGCCCAACAAACTCCTGTATCTTTCAGTGGAAGTCCCATCACAATCGGTTAAGGCTTTCCAAAGATTGCCCCAGACAAACAGAATTAGAAACAAATTAGGTACGAGTATCATATAAATAACTCTATGTACCTACTCTGTATTTCTTACAACCTAGGCAGGCTATCGACCGTTTTCTATCTGGTAAGTATTTCTAATCTCGCATTTTTACCAACCATTACTTTATAACATATTTATTTTATTGAAAATTTTTGACCGACTCATATTATCATGTCATTTCTTACTTATCATGAAACTCGTCAATAATGTGAAGTTTACTTTTACATATATATAGAAGGCTAGCGATACACCCTCGCTTCGCTTGGGGTTCGTCCCTAGACAAAAACAAGTCCATCCCACGGGAACCGTACATTTTCGTTCCGGGATAAAAAGCCTATGTGCTATTCCAGACAATGATCTATCTCCGCGCCAAATTTCATCCTGATCCGTTCAGCCTTTCTAGTGTGAAATATTAAAAAACATCTATCCATCCTCACAAACTTTCACATTCATAATTATGGAGATGGTATACTTTATAATCTGTTAAACAGATTCTAAAACAATAAGTTTCTTATCACCTCCAGAAAAATTTCTAAGAAATCTATTTTTTATATTATATATATATATATATATATATATATATATATATATTTAGTTAACTGACTGACCATCTGTATATAAAATACATACGCAAGTATTAAATGATGTAGAGAAATCTCAATAAAGCGATTAAACTGACTGTGAAAAGCATAATGTTGGAATGCGTCTTGCAAAATACCGGTTTTCATTAAAACGGGTGTAACGAAATTAAGGTGCGTCGTAAAGTACGTATATTTACACAACAGGGCTCGTGCCTATAATGGGTGTGCCAAAATGAGTAACTGATTAAGGGTTATTGTTATTATAATATGTATGTATTTAAAGTTATATATGTATAGTGTATCAACTATCTGGTATCCATAACACAAGCCTCGTAGCTTACCATGGAATTAGATGGTGTGTTAATGTCTTGACATATAAAAAATATATCTTATTCTTACTAATTCTATAAACGAGAGTGTATTTGGTGGTTCGTCTATCTTTCACGCCGAATCGAGTTGACATAATTTTTTTGTTTAAAAATACTGTACGGACTGTAGGTGCCCTTGTATAATACTTGGCCGTTAAAAATATTCAGCTAACGAACCTAACTTAAGCGAAGACAGAGGCGTATCATTACTATTAATTATAATGCAAATATCTCATATTAAACATAATGATCATCATAATTCATGATACATCTCATAATTAATATGTATGTTTATAAGTTAAAATTCGAGAATTCTCGCAAAAGTAGATACAAATGAATGCTGAGATTAAGTATGATTTACGATCGTATATATTTAAAGGAAACGTCAACTTTCAAGACGCGTTTGTGGTTTTGTCTGTGGTCGCAGGTTCGATTACCACACGAAGCAAGTGTTTGTTTTGACGTTTGATCATCATACAGTTGAAAATGTCATAAGTTGACATGACAATTGCTAAGTCCACCCATAACTCCTTAAAGAAATTAAAGCATGGAGGCAATACGTCATACTTAGCATGTATGTACCTATATAAAAAAAATAGTAAAAAAAAGTAAAGTCTGTAAGGCCAATGCTATAAAGTCTATCTCTAATAGTTCAGAGATATAAATAATAATGTTTTGAGTAATAAACGACAATATTCTTATTATCTAAATGAACATATAATTTATTTTCTGCAATCGCTATTTTATAAAATTGTAGAATATAATAACTTATTTGAACATGCGCAAGGACTTAGCAACGACAGACAGAACAGAAGTGATATTAATAATAAATAAAACAATAAATAAAAAATAACCACAAAAAACAATACGTGGTATATTGAAACTTAGTAAACTGGGAAACGCATGGATGTCGTTAACATCCATTACAATTTACAGCTTTAGACTGTGCTTTTGCCTAGAATGAAAATCATTAATGAAATTATAAAGTGAGATATAAATATATTAAATAAGTATATCATTCTAGTTACTAAATTATATGTCAGCTAATAAATAATAGGTACTTAATATTTTCTTAGATTTTTTTTTTTAATTTTTCTACGTTTTTTTCTTTTGATTTTCGTACGTTTTTTTTTGTTCCCAATACTTTGCAACAAACAATCATGTGAGAGATACCAATAGGTATAAAATAATACTATTTATTTCGCCTTTTGCCAGATATTGTGTTTTTTTTTTATTTTATATTAAAATATCATTAAATGTATACTTTGAGAAAATACTGAATATTTCAACCAATCGTCAATGATGAATTAAAGTATAGCTACTTAATTAGCTGGCGCAGACCTATTGTATTCAACAGCGATACGGTAATCGTGGAATATTATTAAAACGTATCTGGAATATTCTGGCAATGTACGTACAATTTAATCAATACTGGTTTGTAATTTGTAAAATATAAACATGTGTTTATAGTATATACGAGTAACATGTCTGATACAATTTTAGTTTTGCGTTTAATAGTTTGTCGATATTACTAAATTATCGATTTTAAATATTAATGATAATTAAAAATCTCGTATTCATTTTTTAATTGATACAAATAAGTTGTTAATGCCAGTAAAAATAGAATTTAACTTTGCACTAAAGTTCCGATACAATTTTTTTCTTTTATAAGATTTAGGAATCACATACTGAGTATAAAATCACAAAATACTGACATATTCCCGTGGAGCTTCATGAGCCATCTTGAAAAAACGTTTTAGGCCGATATCTCGGAAACTATGCACTTTAGGGCAAAAGTCATAATTACCATTTTTGTAGAGAATAAAATTTCGCATCTTTTCTTACCCGTAATTTTTTTTTGTAAAACTTACCGTTTACGATTTATGGCCCATTTAATAAATCGGTTTTACTATCTCGGCCGATAACTCTTAAAATATTGGTTTAATCAATCAAATGCGGCTCTTAAATCTTATAAAAGAATAAAATTGAATCAGAAATTCAGTGCAAAAATGACCAAAAAGGGACATGTATTTTAACTTGCCTAAATAATTAATATAAACATAAACATCAAATGATGAAGCTAACGAGTTTTGTCAATAATACTTATCTTAATACCTTACAATAATCTCGTTAAAAATGGATTTTGTATTTATAAAACTATTAAAGCTAATCTGTTCAAAAAGTTTTATTATACCACTTAACCTACTGTTCTGCTTTAAATAACAAATAATTGCTATGTATTGTTTGAATTTTATACAAAATATTTTGTGTGGTCTAGTTATAACGAAAACACGTATAACGTATAAGTTATACTGTGAATTTTATTATTTAATAATTTTCCTGCTTGATATTCAGATAGGGGCATACAATACCTTTGTTTACATTCAAATCATGGTAACATTTAAAAAATGTTAATATAATGGTAATATTATTAAATTCAAGTTATAAGCATATGTCAGGTTAAACATTTAAAACGTAGAATATATGTATATAAATGTTGAATACATTTAAATAATATTTTAGGATTGGTAAATACGGCTAATATAAACTAATCTAGTATAGAATTGCTGATTCGGCGAATGATGAATGATACTTTTAAAAGATAATAAATGAAAAAAAAAACATATGTACGTTATCAATATTTAAGTCTATTATTAAAATTTGTAGCTTCATTTTTAATAAAATTTAAATCAACACTATCAATTCTTATTTCAAGGACAAGAGCATGGTAGTCTTCGTGGAAGCAGCCGTGTTAGATGACACTCTGCTCAAGGAGTATAGCGACTTCACGTCGGTCAGAGAGCGACTGATGACGTTCCGCGCGGGCACCGATGACCTCACTGACAAGATCGACTTCATTATCTGTCTGGGCGGAGATGGCACTTTGTTGCACGCTAGCTCGTTGTTTCAGGTAATCTATACTAATATCAATTATAAAGAGACAGTATGTGTGTTTGTTTGTTTTGACGCGCTAATCTTAGGAACTACTAATCCGATTTGAAAAATTCTTTATTGCATTAGATAGCTCGTTTATTGAGGAAGGTATAGGCTGTATATTATCATGCTACTGCCCAAGGGAGTGGAGCAATAATCATAAATGTCAATAATCGGCAGACTTCCATACATTATTGTAAAACTGATGTTTATATCGGAAGTTTAAACGCGGGCTAAGCCACGGGTACTGTTAGTAATTTTTATAATACTGTTTATCGACCGCGGTTTCTTATGAACGTGTTTTATTTAAATAATAGTATTCTTAAAAGCTTAACGGATCCGGTAGACACACGTTGTCCTGCTATTGTAGATCTTAATTGGTTAGAAAAAAAAATATTGATCTCGACAACAGCGCCAACAACAAGGTTCAACTAGAACTAAAAACCATCCAGGAAATCCTCATTACCCATAAGTCCAGAAAAAAAATCATCTTAATCGTTCAATCGGATACACAATCCCATCCAAAAGTTCTCTTAAAACCGCCACCAATTATGTTTGGGTAATTATTGTAGTTGAAATAAATATGTATACAATTCTCTAAATAAACTTTTTTTTCATTGTTATTTTATTTTTTGACGTAATAACTTCATTAAAATATTATATTTTAATTATTTCTGCGTTATTTATCACATTGTTCTAATTCAACATTCTATAAGCGAGTAATAAATAATTCAAAAAATTCTCTTTTTAGCAATCAGTACCTCCAGTAATGGCATTCCATTTGGGATCGTTGGGATTTCTTACACCGTTTGAGTTCAATAACTTTCAGGACCAAGTGATGAATGTTCTAGAAGGTAAGTTTATAAAAAAAGTTCTTACTTAAATATTATTGTTGCCAGTAAGTAAAATAAATTCAGTATTTCCTAACTCATTGAATGGAATAAGTTAAATGCTATATTCAATGCTTTACTCATTATAATAATATTTTTTGTTATTATATTGCTAAATTATCAAAAAAAACAATAGTTATTAGGCTAGCTCTTTAATGTTACAATATAATATAGCCTATCTATTGAACCCTTAGTGGCTGATTCGTCGTCTCAATTCACCGAAAGAATGGTTAATAATTAACTTTAAAATGTCAATTCCGTTAGTATTAAATACACATTTTACTTTAATAAAACCGAAAAATACATTTTATCTATATATCTTAAAAATAAAGCTTTTTTATTAAAATGGAGAAAAACACTCACTGTACCTTGTAAGGTACAACAAGTATTGGTCGTTAAACATAAAAGCACTAAGGCGAAAAATTATACATAAATATTACGCAAGCGGACTTGCGAGTTAAAGCTAGTTGATAATTAAAAGTAAAATAATTTGGGTTATATTACAAATAAGCATTCGTTGATCATTGAATAAAATAGTAATAACTAGCGACTCTCCCTCGCTTCGCTCGGGTTCGTCCCTACTTTGATTCCCCATACACACTTTCACCCGCTTAAGGGATGATTTCTAGGATAAAAAGTATCCTATGATCTTCCCAGGGTCTCAAACTATCTTCTTACCAAATTTCATCTAAATCGGTTCAGTAGATCCAGAGGTTACCCCCCCCCCCCTCCAAAACGTCACAAACTAACAAATTTCACAAACTTTACTTCTTTATAATATTAGTATAGATAATGAATAAACATATTTTTTTTATTTCATTCAAGGTCACGCGGCATTAACGTTGAGATCACGTCTTCAATGTGTGGTGCTTCGGAAGACGAGTGAGGATGGCAAAGAGAAGAAAAAAACAACAACAATACTTGTGCTAAATGAAGTAGTCGTAGATAGAGGCCCCTCGCCGTATCTGTCGAATATTGATCTCTTTTTAGATGGAAAACACATTACCTCTGTGCAGGGTGACGGTATGTTTGATTTTGTTTCGTATATCGTACTCGGCGTTTTTCTTTATTGTTCGACAGCTGGGGCGTACAAGCATTGAGGGCATTGGGCTCAGTTTGTAGTGACCCTATTTGCTGTGCCTGCGGTCGCGGGTTCGAGTCCCGCTGGGGGCATTCATTTGTTTGATGACCACATATGTTTGTATGTACTCTAGTCATTGGTGTTTATATTTATATTATACTAGCATTGCCCGCGGCTCCGCCCGCGATCAGATGACTAAAAACCAAATTCTTAGCTTTTACATATTAGTATACCCGTACATTACATATTTTGTAATTTTTCTCAGAAATGAGACAATTTCCCGCGGTAAAAAGTATCCTATATGTTGACCCGGATGACCAGCTATCACCATACAAAATTTCATCAAAATCCCTCCAGTGGTTTTTCTGTGATGCGGTAACAGACAGACAGACAAACAGACAAAAATTCTAAAATCTATAGATTCGGCCTCTGTATCGATAATAATGTCTATTTCAATAACATTTTCTAAGAAATATTGGATGATTCGGCTTCATTACGATTTTATTATATGTATAGATTTGTATGTATTTAAAGTTGTATATGTGTAGTGTATCAACTATCTGATATCGCACAGTCTTCGCCAACTCGCACTTGGCCAGCGTAATGAACTATGGCCTGATCCTCTTTGTATTGGGGGGTTCGTGCCCAGCAGTGGGACGTAAGGATGATGATGATTGGTCCGACCGTTTTCGGTCCTGGTGACCACTTCGACTCCTAGTCAACAACTACGACAACCTGTGACTAGGACGGTAGGACTGAATACGTGTATGTATGTATGTATGTACATCCCCAGGCCTCATAGTGTCGACGCCGACGGGCAGCACGGCGTACGCGGTGGCGGCCGGCGCCAGCATGATCCACCCGTCGGTGCCCGCCATCATGGTCACGCCCATATGTCCGCACTCGCTCTCCTTCAGGCCCATCGTCGTGCCGGCCGGGGTCGAGCTCAAGGTATGATATATATAATATATTTATTTAATTTTTTTTCTGACTAATAATGTTGTTTCGAAACTTGGAAACTGCTGGCGAATTTGTTGAATTGAGAAATTAAGATATTACTTTAATAATAATAATTGGTATTTTTAAGTTCATTTTTTCTAGATTTGATTTTTATTAGCGTTCTCTCTTGGTGGTCTTTTTTAGTCTTAGAAAAGAATCAAAAATCGGTTTACAGATATTATTTTTTTGTTTGAAATAAATGAACCAGTAAATTTGGCAAAATAAAGGAATACGTTAGGAGACCCCACACCTTAATTGCCTTGTTGACTTCCTATACTTATAAACCTTCGATTTCAATTTTATAAAAAACTGTTTGTATGTTCCAATGAGAATATTTCTTTTTAAATGATCATTTCCCATGAAAATACAATAAGTAAATAAATATTTTAGATCGCATTATCTCCCGAGGCGCGTAACGCGATGTGGGTATCGTTCGACGGACGCAACCGCCAAGCGTTGCAACACGGAGATAGGTACCACAGATAACAAATGTCTAACTAATGCTTTGCTACTAGCAGTGCAGCATGCTGTATACATTTTTATATGTTTATTTAATCTGTGACACCCGTTCTTTTGTATATATTATTTACTCCATTAATATTATATTATTGATATGTAGTTTGTTAAATTATTCGTTGTTTTGTTGTATGTAATAGACATTTCAATTATTTTCAACCATAATATATTTTATGTCCCAACAGATCATACTTAGCGTGTTAATGAAAAAAAAAGTAATGTCAGACTCATAATAGTGTCAAATAAAATCCCGCCAAAATTTGTTTTTTTTTTAAGTGTAAGAGCTTGTTTCAGATAAAACTAAGCGTAGAAACTCGTAACTTGGCCAGCATATCGTTCGACGGCCGGTCTCAGTTGATACTCAGGCCAGGCGATAGGTAACCTATGTTTATACTTGGGTATATTGTACAAGTTTCACGGAGTTTTGGCCATATTGGTTTGATAAAGAAACAGTGTACGTTTGCTGTCCATGTACACAATTTCTAAGATTTTTTTTTCTTTTATTTCTTATATCATAGTGGATGGACCCATTTTTGCGTGGCAAAGAAAAAAATTTTAAAGCTTTTTATTTTATACATATACTGCATGTTGCTTTATTTTATGCTTTGCTTTCATTAATAGTGGAGTTTTACTTGCATGGTAATCTTTTGTTTATATAATATGTTATATATTTTTTAATATTATATTAATTATATATTGTAAAAAGTACTTATTATAAGTCTAACAAAATTTTATATTAAATACAATTTTTATATCTAAATCTAGTTTACAAGTATAATTGATTGATTAGATAATGTTATATGATTAAACGTAAAGCCAAAAAATAATGATTAAACAATAATGAAAAAAAAAAGCTATTTTTTTTAAAGAAAGTAAATGATCTGTATGGCAAAATTACGCTACTAAATTTGACTTTGACATTTATTTTGGCGGACTCCGTCTATTTAATGGAAAAGTTTCATGATGCTATTAATATCATAATTTACGCTATGAATTTATATACAGATCGAAACTAATAAATCAGTGAAAAAATTGAAATCTAACAATAAATGACTGACAAATTAATTTTAATTTCGGCCGTTCAGGTCGTGTGACGTCACGAAATTATTCTTACAAGCGCAACTTAAAGTTTCTTAACTTTTTCATTTGTTTTGAGATATTTTAATAATTCTTTCGTACTTTTGTTATATTTTAATTAATCTTTTATAAATAATACATTAAAAAAATGGAAACTTCTCCATTCTTTAGTCTGACTTGTGCACTGTAATTGTAGCTTTAATATAATATATAAACGAAATACATATTTATTAAATAAATAAATAAATAATAAATAAATATGTCAGGACATTAACACACAACACCATCTAGTTCCATGGTAAGCTACGAGGCTTGTGTTATGGATACCAGATAGTTGATACATTATACATATATAACTTTAAATACATACATATTATAAATATATATGTATTTAAAGTTATATATTTATTAATCAAAATTAATATAATAATAAAATTAAAAACTGCACTAATCGTATCTTTCCAGTCTATACGTCACAACGTCAGTGTACCCGGTGCCGTCCATATGTGCACAGGACCAGATCTCGGATTGGTTCGACTCGCTCGCCGAGTGCCTGCACTGGAATGTTCGCAAGAAACAAAAACAAATAGACAATCTAAGCGACATGACGCACTCTTCGAGCGATACTTTGGAGGAAATTGAAGCAAATCACCACGACGAAAGACCCGCTGACACGTGACAGACTCGACTATATGTATACAGGGACGGATTTGAACGGCGATAGGGTCATGTCTCTGGGACCTAGAGAAAGTACCTATTTAATTAAAATTGTTATTTGTTTATATATGAGCATTTTTGGCGTGGAATAGTTTATTAAAAAATAGTGAAAAGGTTAGGCTTAATTACCTCTGATTTCTATTTTTCAAGGATGTCTTTATTGCTGCACCACAAAAGTTTTGAATCCGACCCTGGACGTAGATCAATATTTATGAAGGCTGTTAGCGCAAAAGTGGCACTAAAGAAATTACCTAGAAAAATTATAGTGTTTTATATTTATAATAGATTGATTCTAGAAAGATTTGTTATATTTGTTTATGTATGTAAATATATGATTTTATTTCTACTGAGCAACATCTGTTACGTCTACTCGATTAATTATTAAAAGTATTGTGCTATGCTTGACTGAATCTGACTTGTTTTAAAATTATAATCAAAAAATATACATAATGATTTTATCAAATATATCAAACTTACGAATTTAATATTTATTTTTTTATTAATTTAACACAAAAATGTAATTTAGGCCATTTTTGCGCTGAAGCCTGAAAGAAATTCGTATTCAGAAATAATTTAACTTATGAGTAAACCATAGAGTTAGAAACATTTAAATATGACGCAACTGTAAAAGTATTGATGGAAGCAATTATATTTTATACTTATGTGGCAAATATATATAATTAGAAAATGGTAAGAAATAAGTTTCGTTTGATTATTTCTTATTCTAAATATATTATGGAATTGGTTGTAATTTCACAATATTAAAAAGCGCTTGCAGGATTAAGTTGCTTGTCTCAAACATTTCATTTGTTCAATTTTCAATTCAATTCAATTTTCTTGTTAATAGCTTCAAAGCTTGCTTGTTCTTACTCAGAAGGTTTTATTGTTTAGTAGGAATTTGCTCTGCACGAATTTTATAGAATTTGGCAATAACAGAAGATATTATTATATTTTTTTTTCATGGTATTATACTTCTACTTCAATGTTTATTTTGGGTATTAGGAAAATATATTTTTTTTAACGAAAATGCCTAATTTTATAATATTTGTATGAGTATCACAATTCTCGGAATAAAGATCGATTTAAAGACTGTTGTTTAATAATGTTAGACTTGATAAGTGAATGGATAATAATATTTTTGTTTTTACATGTAAAATGTCATGTTTGTTCATTGTCATGTTTATCGTCTCCATTGCTTTGTATGGATTATACATTTGTTTTATTTCAATCAAATTCAAGTAAGTATATTTGGCCTATTCTAATATTACATTTTTCTATTTAGAACTTTTTACTATTTCTTAACTAATAAATTAGCTGTCTTATAATATATAAAATATATATATATATGTACATATATATATATATATAAATATATATATATATATATATATATATATATATATGTATATATAAAATAAAACTTAAATTAATTTTTATCACAGGTTTATACGAATCTAATATTTGTTTTTGAAGTGAAAACTTCTATAGGCAGGTTTGGATTGGTAGTAAATTCATGTAAGTCGTCATCGACATGGACACGTTGACGTGTTAACGCTAACACTCAAGAGTGCGGATAGGGATAGATGTCAATACCAGATAAATGTAAACAGTTTTAATTTACAAATTTTAATTTAAGATCAAACAATTAATTTGAATATCCAAAAATAACAACCGTTTATTTATAATTTTAAGTATTCACTTCTGTCGGCAGTCCTCATGACTGCTTTTTATATAAAAAAAATTAGTTTTACTTGGAAATTGAATTTTACGTTGTAACTATATATTAGATCTAGGGTTGTAACATTTATGTACAATCATGAATGTAACGCACATACTGTGCAATATTGTGATAACATAAAATATAAACAGAAAATAAACAGATTTACTTTTTAACATTCCCATGGACAATAAAAATCAAATTTCGTTATGTCTTTTTGGATGTAGTATGTGCTACAAAGGAGTGCATATAGTTTTACTTGAATATTATTTTAAATGTTATATTGCAAGAGGTAGGCAGGGCTCGGAAACCCTTTAATTTTTAAACCGGTTTTGATCGTTGACCCCAAACCGAAAATCTTTTCGTTACGTTCTTTAACCGAAGTTCGGTTTTTGAGGAGTTTAGGTTCTATAATCGAAATTAACCGGTTAAAATGAGTTTTTGTGCGTTTACATTTGGCGAATCTTTGCTAATGATGAATGGCGTAGTAGAAGGATACATGTACGTTTCTTAATTAACCGGTTTATTTCGGTATCAAAAGCGAAGTCGAACCTTTCTCTAAGAATAACTGTTAAACATTTTTATTTTGGTTTACCGTAGTTTTTATTAGCCGATTAAAAAATGAGCAATGAATTAACCATTAAATTACCGAAATAAACCATTTTTTTAAACCGGTTCCGAGCCCTGGATATAGTTAAGTATGTAATTACATTTACGTTTTTTTTTTTGTTAAATACAGAAAGAACATATTGATGGGTATATATTAAAAGATAATGTGAATTAAAATTGCATGTAGCTCAAAGAAGTCCAGATAATAACTTGTATGGTCAAGGTGCTACGAGAAACAAAACAGTGCCAATTTAAATATACCATTTTAATATATGCGTCTAGCACAAAATAGATTAAATGGAAAAATATTGCTATACATATTTTAATTTTTCAAACATTGATATTTTATTTGAGGCTAATATAATCTATTAGATCGTAGCTTACGCTACAAAACCTTAAATTCTTCGTCTGCATTATAAAATACAATAACTTTTGTAAAACATATATATTTCATGTGTACATTTTATAAGTAAATTTGGTTTATGGTTGTATTGTATAGTTTTTCTTATAAAACTGTCATTATTATATAAATTTTTGGGTGTTTCATTATGTTTGAAATTTTATGATACGAAATGAGTAAATAATTGACTACATGTTTTAATATTATAAATTATACATATTTGACCCTTAAAGTATTTTTATTCACATTCACCTATTTTTAATGGAGCTTTCGATACATCGATGTATCGATATTTTTTCAAGAAGCCTAAGAAAGTAAGAAGCGGGGGCGCGGAAGCACGTGTTGTGTCGACCCACCCGCACGCCTCCCGCAACACCCGCTCACACCTGTGTCATTTTGTTAAAATCTGCGTTTTCTGATTAATATATTACTTACCGATGATACCGATATCTTTGTTCGTTTTAGTTTGCTTTCGTGAATCATTTTTATAGCTTGGAACTGCACATTTCACCATTACATAAATCTAAATAAATACCAACAAGAGAAACGATCAGTGACTTTTCGTGACTTAATAGCTATAGCGTCGGTGTCGCCCTCGCTATTTCGAGACTGTTCATACCCGTGCTTACAGTTCATTCATACTTGCTAGCGCGCGCTCTATAGCTTATGTATACCTACTCTAAGGATGTATCTATGTAACGGAATGTTTGAATGCGATTTTCATCCACTTAAAAACTTCAAATTGAACTGAAAAATTGCACATTTAACAAGGACCAAGGAGGATAATAATTTAAAAAACTAAAAAACACTCTTTTATAGCAGATCAAATTAATTCTTGCTAAATTAATTGCTTGCTTCCCCATACAAACTTTCATCCTCATTTTCATCCCCTTAAGATAAAAATATATAAATATTCGGATAAAAATATATAATTCCGGGATAAATATATCCTATGTCCTTCCCAGGGTCTCAAACTATCTTCTTACCAAATTTCATCTTAATCGGTTTAGTACATCCAGAAATTACCCCCTACAACGTCACAAACTCACAATTCACAAACTCATAAACTTTACCTCTTTATAATATTAGTATAGATGGATTGACGTATTAGTATTGTATACGAAAAAAAAACATCATATAGAAATATCACTCAATAGGTTACGACGGGGTCGCGGTTCCATACCTACGAATATGTTGTATGATCTCTTTAACCATTTGTCCAAATTATATGCAGTAAAAGGGAAAAGTCTTTTGTTTTAAACATTTTAGACGATAAATTTACTTATTTTGATAAGAATTCAGAATTGTTGATAATATGACCAATAAACATGACCTACCGATTTTAATTATTTTTTAATATAAAAAACTGCTTTTTGTGACTTAAATATAAAAGTTAGACATATGCTGTCGCTAACTTTTTTGTAGGCATTATTAATCTCTACAACTTTTCTTTAAAACATAATCATCGTTAAGGCAGCGTTCGTAAGAAACGTTTTTTTCGACCGTTTTTTCCCCGACTTTGCAAATCCGACTACCATGAAAAAGTCTTTTAATTCTTCGGGTTAATATATAGCCTATGACACTCAGAAAGAACGTGGCTTTCTATTGGTAATAGAACTTTGAAAATCGGTTTAGTAGATCCAGAGATTACCCCCTACAACATCACAAACAATATCACTCTTTATAATATTAGTATAGAAAACTAAAACATCCTTTGATGATGAACCAAACTTAATAAGTAAAATATATTTTTTAGTGTAAGAATAAAGTAATTAACGAGAAAATTAATTTTATTCTGAAAAAAGCGTGGGGTGCTCGATATCAGTTGCTATAAATAATAAATATCCCATTAGTGCGATTTCTAAAAGTAGAGTGAGTATAAAAATATTGTAAAAAGCACCCCACGCTTTCTTCATAATGACAATAATTTTCTCAATAATTACTTTTTTCCAAAGAGCCTTTTTTTCTTTTTACTTTTTATTTTTTACTTTTTAGTTCGATTCATTATTAAAGCGTGTTTTTAAGTTTTTTACCAACTTATACTCAGTTAATTTTTTTGTATAAAAATGTAGTATGGTAAATATTATGGTAAGTAATGAAATATTAAAGAAGTAAAAAGAGTTGTTGAAATAGATTCAAAATCTAAACGTGTTTTAGATTTCTAAACTCAACTTGAAAAAAAAATTGACTTAAAGTACTAGCTTTTTTACTGAACTTCACTCTATTCAAGTCTATCATTAATATGGAAAGAAAAAGCTTCAGTCTTGGGAAGAACTATAGATTTCGTCAGACTTCCCTCAGTATGTATTTATATAGGTAATATATAATATTATATAAATAATTATAAAAATCAAAATAAAAATTACGAAGAAACTGAGAAATTAATTGAAATAATAAAATAAGTGCTTTTTTTCTGTTATATTACCGAGTCTTTAAAAATTCCTACAAAATAGTAAAAACTTTCATATTAATAATGACCTTGATCATAATAGTCAAAAATAATAAATGATTGTTAACAAAATTTAAAACAAAGAATTAAATTTAAACTAGTTTGCTAAATTACATACACGAGTACATACCTAAATTTATACAAATAAACAACTATAAAGATATAATATATAGGTACCTAAATACAGATAACTACAAATAATAAAAATATGCCTAAATATTTATACATATACAACTATAAATATTGTAAAATATACCTAAATATTTCCAAATAAACAACCATAAATGATATAAATTATACAAATTTATTATTCAAATTATTTACAAATGAACATCTACAAATAATATAAAACTGGTTCAAAATATATCATATTAAAAAAAAATATCTACAGAAAAAGTTTAAAAAAAAAAAATCTTACGTAAAATAATTAAACAATATACATATTTTTCTTAATGCTTAAACTCATAGCTTTAGTGGTCTAACTTCAATAATAACTAAAAATTACACAATGACGGTAGATGTTTTTAGTAAATTAAATAAGTACCTACGCTGATGTATCTCGAAATTGTTCACATTGTATATCATATATATTTTTAGTATTATGTTACATTTAACTTATTAGCAATAAACAAATTGTGTAATAGGAAGAGGCTAGCGTCTGAGATACAGGCTCGGCCTAGTTCAGACGTTAGTATACCTAAACAAAGATTGTGCTAATTATATAGTTTAAAAATAAATGTCTTGTAACCCTTTTGTATTTACGTCAATAAAGGTATTATTATTATTATTATTATTATAGGTGTGCTTTTGTCTATTTTATATTAAAAAAACTAACTGTCAATGTTTCTTCTCGGTTTTGAGTTTTGACAAATGACAATGACATAAAAATATAACCATTTGACATTTACATAAAGACATTTGTGTAACAAATATAACCTCAATTGTATACTTCCAAAAAGTCTTCAAGAAAATTAAAAATGTCTAAAATATCATCTTTAGTTAATTTTATTAGCAAACGAAATATTTCACTTACAGTCCCTAGGGAAGGTAAGAGAAATTTCCGAAAATTTGTTATAGCTAACAAAAGAGGTTCACGGATCCATAAAATGCAGCAAATGGGTCCTAAACCTGAGTTAGAAGTGGACAGACGTGGAGTACGTGATACAGGATATATTTTAAACGGTCGCTTTGTTAAAGTGCCAGAAATGATACCTGAACTTATCGTACCTGACCTAAAAGATTGTAAATTAAAACCGTATGTTTCCTACAAAGCAGAGGATGTGATTCAAAGCGAATTCACCTCTCAAAATTTGTTTGATGCTGTCTATAGTAGAAAAATAGTAACAGATTTTAAAGAAGGTAAATTAGATGCAAATGGTGAGCCCCTTGAGCCTTCAGAAGAAGAGAAATTGAGACCAGAAGAAGCCGTTCAAAGAGCTAAGCAAACAGGCTCTGATATTTTTTAAGTGTTAATAATTATGTTTTAAATCTTACAATTATAATATATTATCCAATCTATAATATATTATTATAGCTTATCCAATGTATAATATATTATTAAATAGATAGTAATTATTGCTGTATTTTATTATAAATTAGTGACTTATCCCCTCTTCACTTAGGCACATCTCTAGGTGTTAAGTATCTAATGTAATTTTAGTATTGCAATGGATTAAAACATTTTTCTGTAATCCATCTTTCAACTTAAAACAAATTTTATTGCTCCATGACCATGTAGTATGAATTATATACCAGAGGGAAAGAAAAATATAGTAAGTATTTTAGATTGCAGTAAAAGAAAATATTTTAGTGACTTTGAAATAATATTACCTAATACTTTCTTAGATTTACGCGAATATTTGACATTTTAAATAAAACGAAACAAAAATCCAAATAAATCTGCGACAAAATCCGAAAAGATAGTTTTATTTATAATATTACCTGTTTATCTCAGCAATTAATATGTATAATTTGCATAAATATATTAGATACTGATATCATAAATCGTGATAGGTACATATTCAAAGTCAACTTAGCTTAATTAGTGTAGATTGTAGGCCTTGGTAACAATGTGCATCATAAAGAAAACCATCTACTGACTACTACCTATTATCTCAGCAAGATTTTGAGCCATAATGCTGTACTTGTAGAATGCTGGAAAAATAATTGAAACATATCTAAGACGAATAATATAAGTTTGTCTTTACCATGTCTATCACTCATATTGGCCAACATATTATGTAAAACTAGTATTTTTATATTACCTTCTTAAAATCCTACATTTTGATGCCCAAATTGTCGCATATAATCTGCCATCTATTTTTTTTTTCAATTTAAAATGACACTTGCATTTTAAAGACATCTTTGGTCCAAAATCGGTTAAAGATAGGGTCGTACATATTAAATACGTACAAGTCAAAAACATAACCCTCCTTTGCCACAATCGGGTAATCAACTAAGTGTCATGGTCATAGGTTTAACAACAGCAGTTAGCCTCTAAGAACTGGATAGAACAGCAGTAAGTAACATAAATAATAGGCTTTAGGTATTTTATTACAACTATTAAAAAACTAATATTTGCTAAATTACAATAAATACATTATGTTAATCTACCCTTATAGTACTTTAACAAAGTAAAGTTTTTGAAAGTGAAACTTCTGATCCGAACTACTGATAAGCAGCTCTTTTATATATCAGAACCTATAAATATGCCAAAATAATATATATTACCCGACTACGGTCTACGGTAAACTCCAAGAGAAAGGTTATTCAGTAAAAGTGATTCTCATGTAATAAGTACTTGTTCATTGCATAAATTTTATAAGTAAATTAGCAACTTAATGATGGATTAATGGAACCCTAATTCTTTTTCTAAATAAAAAGTAGCTGAAGTTACTTCTTACAACATTAGCTATCTGCCAGTGAACGGAAACGGAACGGAAATAGAAACGCTTGCAAAGTTTCAAGTCAAAGGTTAAATTCATCATTAGCTATTTTTCCACCCTTAGGGTAAAAAATACCACATTTTTTTTGAAATTTAAATGGGACCAATCTGGAAGTATACACTTTCAACAACACAAAAATTGTCCAAATCAGTTAATAAATGACGGAGTTCTGAGGTAACAAACATAAAAAAAAACAGTCGAATTAAGAACCTCCTCCTTTTTGAAGTCGGTTGAAAAGACTATAGAGCGTAGTTAGGGCCGAGCAAGGGGGAGAGCTAGTTCTAGGATTCGAATTAGCGAAGCAATTCTCACATCGAATGAATATTAAATTGAATGTAAGACATTCTTTACAGTCTTAGAAAAGTTTCTAAATCGTTAAAAGTCGCCACACAATCTCAAAAACTACTTACTGCGGCTTACATAAGTACTTACTATTCCGGTGTAAATAAAATATCGTAAAGGCTAAGTACGTAATTATAAATAAAAATAAAAATAGATTATGTATGTATATCCCTAGGCAAGTACAATTTATCTATTATAAATATATGTATAAAAGTAGGTATCCACTACAACGAATTAATCTCATCCATTTATATTTTACTTAAGTGCATATTATGTAGGTAGTTAATAAAATCTTCTTTAAAGATAACATTAAAATATTAATAATTCTTATAATTATAAGGTAGATCAAGTGAAGCAATCATCCATTGACTTAGATGACCCGGCTCTATCTTATTATCAGTAAATAATATTCATCTCGTTGTAATGATTTCGTTCTATTCAAACTTCATATATCGGTTCGCGCGGTTGTAACTTGTAGCGCGTGCGCATAGACTCATTTGTATTTTTGTATATACATAGATAGATATAATGGGTGGTAATTACTCCGCTATGAATCCGATGGAAGTGCCTGTGCCCGATCTAAAAAAGTTATTTGAAAGAGATGGGTATTTGAAGCCCTACGAGCGTGAGATTCGCAGACGGTAAGTCTAATTATTTTTAAAATGTGTCCAAATAACTCTGATACATACAACTAACAATAATTTATTATAAAATACAAAATAATTTATAGGTTAACTTTTCTGTTTACCATTTTTCATTCAATCAAGCAATACAGCGCTTGATAAATAGTCAAGCTGGATAATAAAAAATAAAATTGATAACATTGTTTATGCATATTATTTTTAATTAAAACACTAAAGGCTGGGATTTATTCATGTTGAGAATCTTAGTTACTAGCAAAGAACTACAAAAATATTTATTATATGATTTTAAAAATAATATGAAATCTTAAAGCGCGTCAAGCGATTTTTGTTGTTGTGAATGTCATTTTCAATGTCAAACTTAAGGTCATTGTAGTATCTAAAGTACGGATACGGTTATTTAGAACAAAACAACTATAAAAAGTTAGTAATACTATGAAAAAATGAGGAAATATTATGTCTATCAATATTTTTTAAATAAACCTACTAAAAAGTTTTCATTACCCTGTATGCCATGTGCAAATATGATATTAATCAACTCATTCGCATAGTAGCAATAAAGTTTACCAGAAAGCCTTTACGTTCTTTATAATAAAGACTATATTGTTAAAAATAATAAAGATATGAAAATTATTATAACTCAAACTTGTTTACGTGATGATAGTTTGAAAATTTAGGCATATATTTTAAAATTATTGTGTAATTTATTTCACAACTAATGTAGTATAGTAAACATGCCATATGTTTACTATACTAATATTATAAAGAGGTAAAGTTTGTGAGTTTGTGACGTTGTAGGGGGTAATCTCTAGATTTACTAAACCGATTTAGATAAAATTTGGTAAGATAGTTTGAAGTCCCTAGGAAGGACCTAGGATACTTTTATCCCGGAAATCATCCCTTAAGGGTGTGAAAATAGGGTTGAAGGTGTGTATGGGGAATTAGGGACGAACGAAGCGAGGTTGAGTCGCTACTCGCTAGTAGATTAATGTAATTATTAATTAAATAGAGTAATACCATTTATTTATGTCTTCGATGAAATTTAATGTAACACTCTAGCCTAGCCTATAAAACTATTTCTTTATCATTCTAAAATAATATTAGGGTTATATGAAATAACTAGTTATTTTAAACGACTTTTTTAAGTCCAGATATCTATAACGAGTTATAAAATTCCTGTTACCAAATGTCGAAAGTTCGAAACCATGTCAGTAATAATTTACGTATTTTTGATATAAATTAAAAATTAGTAAAAATTTTTTTAGTATATGATACAGATAGAACAACCTATTTATCTTGATACTTGAACAGTAGGTACCTAATTATAACAACAGATCGATACCAGAAATATTACAAAAGTATTTATTATTAAGATACGTTTGGCTTAGTTTGTAGTGACGCTACTTGCTGTGCTGGCGGTCGTGGGTTCGAGTGCCGGCGGTCGCGGGTTCGAGTCCCGTTGGGCGCATTAATTTGTGTGATAGGTTTATTCTGTCCACGCATTATTATAATATATTAAGTAATTTCTTTTACTACTGTATTATTTCCAGGTATGCATGTTTTAAAGATCTATGGGATAAAATTCAATCATGGGAAGGTGGAGTGGAAGCTTTTACCACAGGATATCGGTATTTTGGACCTCAATTTGGTGCATACGGATCAGTAGTTTGGCGTGAATGGGCTCCTGGAGCACATTCTTTGCATTTGCAAGGGGATTTCAGTAAGGAATTATAATTTAATATATGTTATAACATAAAAAATAAATCTTTTGCTTGGATTTAAATTGTTGCTAATTCTAGTTATGTATCGTACTACTATTATATTAATTTACATAACATTTGTTACATACCTATAAGATAAATCGATTAAAGCGAGGGGGAGTCGCTAGGAAAAAATAAACAGCTAAATTATAAATAACGCGACGTGCTAAAACTAAATATTGAATAATAATATATAATTTAAAAACAACTTACCAAGCAACACTATTACTATATACTTTTACAAATGACTGTAACAACTATACCTTCAAGACATGTAACACCTCAGTCTCTCCCGTGACCATGGATGCTGTAAAGCATTCGAAACGTCGGGAAACAAAAATGCAAATAAATCCGCGACAAAATCCGAAAAGATAGTTTTATTTAAAATAACATATTATATTCAGTATTCGATATAAACAATAATTTAGTTGGTTATCCCATAACATTAACATTTTAATATTTTAGATGACTGGAATCCCAAGAGCCACCCATTCAAAAAGCTAGAGTTCGGCAAATGGGAATTATATATACCTGAAAATAAAGATGGTTCATGTCCCATCAAGCACGGGAGCCGCGTCCAACTCATTGTAAATGACAATTTGTACAGAGTATCTCCTTGGGCTAGCTATGTGAAACCATTTGAAGGGTTTACATATCAGCAATTTATTTACAATCCAGATCAGGTAAGTTTTTAAATTAATGGCTAATAGTATAATACTTTCTTAGATTTACGCGAATGTTTGACATTATTAAATAAAACGTCGGGAACCAAAAATCAAAATAATGGCTAATAGTATTTTCTTTGGGGCAATATTAGAAAATAATCAATTATTTCATAGAATAAGCCAATGCTGTAGTAAGTGATATTTAAAATCCATACTAATATTATAAATGTGAAAGAGTGTTTGTTTGTTGTCCTTCTTTCACGTCGAAACGGATTGACAGATTGGCGTGATTTTGTGTGTGGAGATAGTTGGAGGGCTTGGAGAATGTACTTTTTACAGCGGAAGATTTTCTCATTCCCGCGATAAAACACGTTATAATACAACCCAAAAAAATATATATGATCAGAATTACTTGAAACTTGGTATTAATGCTCTTCAATACAATTAAATAAATACGTATTTTAGCATTTTTCGAAATTTATCCCATAAGGGAGTAAAATAGGGGATGAAAGTTTGTATGAAAACTACCTTTTTAGTTTTTTTGTAGTTTTAGCGCGAGCGAAGCCTCGCGTTCTGCTAGTTGTTAATAAATAAGACGATGAAGTACATACGTATAAGATGCAGTAAAGTACTAAATCAGTAATTACAATTAACTTATTGTTTACAGCCTTACCAATTCAAACATAAAAAAGTTAACAGGCCAGCTTCTCTACGTATTTATGAATGTCACGTCGGCATTGCCACTAATGAAGGGAGAGTTGGTACATATTTGGAGTTTAAGGACAATGTGCTACCTAGAATTAAGGACTTAGGTACGTATAATACTAAACTAGAACTATTTTATTTATAGAATCAACGATTTATTGATAAAAAAATATATTTTCAGGATACAATGCTATACAATTGATGGCGATTATGGAACATGCATATTATGCTTCCTTTGGCTACCAAGTTACGAGTTTCTTTGCGGCTAGCAGGTATTGTTTCAGATATTTTAATAAAGTTTATTATAATTTAACCATAGTTTTAAATAAATCTGTGCGCATGAAATTTACTTTACTTTCTTTAATTAACACCGTTCTCCATCGTTCGCTAATATTTGAACATGCGGTGTGTGTTTCTAGGACTGAAACTTATTATGTATGGTTCTACTGAATCAAGTTCACATTCTTAGTTACTTGGGGTTTAAACGAACGTGTGGAACATTCTAGTCTATACATATAATAAAATTGTAACTAAGCCGAATCTGTACATTACATATTTTTTGAAGAATTCTATTGAAATAAACATTATTATCGATACATTATTGTCTGTCTGTCTGTTACCGTATCACAGAAAAACCACTGGAGGGATTTTGATGAATTTGGGTATGGTGATAGCTATCCGGGTCAACATTTAGGATACTTTTTACCGCGGGAAAATATCTCATTTCTGAGAAAAACATACAAAAAGTGCATTGTAAGAGTATATATTAATATATATGTAAAACCTAAGAATTTTAGTCATCTGAACGTGGGCGGAGCCCCGGGCAATGCTAGTGCTTAATAAAAGTCTACACTATTATTATAAAGAGGAAAGTTTTGTATTCTTGTATGTTTGTATATAATAAACTGAAAAACTACTGAACCGATTTAGAGGACTTTTGGTAAGAAGATAGTTTGAGACCCTGGGAAGGACATAGTATATTTTTTATTCCGGAAATCATGCTTTCAAGGTGTAAAAATGGGGATGAAAGGACCTAAGGACGAAGCGACATAGCTTTAATCCAGTTTTAACGTTATTTTCCAGCCGTTATGGAACTCCTTGCGAGCTCAAACAACTAATAGATAGAGCTCACGAACTGGGTATATACGTGCTACTTGATGTGGTCCATTCTCATGCTTCTAAGAATACTTTAGATGGACTCAATGAATTCGATGGTACTAATGCTTGCTATTTCCACGACGGTGCCAGAGGAACTCACAGTTTATGGGATAGCAGACTTTTTAATTACTCTGAGTAAGTCTTAAACTTAGGTTTTTATATGTATTGATTCAATATAAAATAATTTAATAATATGGGTTATGGTTACCATTTATAATTTATTGCTTAGGAATGACGTATATTCTTTTTAATTACAGAGTTGAAGTTTTAAGATTTTTGCTCTCTAATCTTCGGTGGTATCAGGAGGAATATCAGTTTGATGGATTCAGGTAATTTTTTAGTTAATAAATAATAAGAGGAAGATTATTGAAAATTATTATTACCATATCCAGGAATAAAATAAGTTCAGTTCAAAACTATTCAATATATTTAAAGTCTTTTTTTTTTTAGATTTGATGGTGTCACATCTATGTTGTACCATAGTCGTGGCATTGGACAAGGATTTTCTGGTCATTATGATGAATATTACGGGCTTAATGTGGACACTGAGGCTCTTGTGTACCTGATGCTTGCTAATGAACTTATTCATTCTACCGATAGCAGAGCTATTACAATTGCTGAGGTACATTCTTTATAAAAATTATTCTCTACAATTTTATTTATTATCTATATTTTCAAATAAAAAGCACCTAAATTATAAGTAATAAAAATATAAAACAAATAGAAAAAGAATTTTTCTTTTAGGATGTCTCAGGTATGCCCGCGTCCTGTCGACCAGTACGTGAAGGTGGTACCGGATTTGACTATCGACTCGGAATGGCCATTCCAGATATGTGGATTAAGTTGCTTAAAGAAGAACGCGACGAAGACTGGAAAATGGGACACATTGTACACACTCTTACAAATAGGAGGTGGATGGAAGGCACTGTGGCTTACGCTGAAAGCCATGATCAAGTATGAATATAGCTCTCTTTCACCTTAATCGTACTGTATATTGTTTAAACTATTCAATTATTCGAATTCAACTTTATTATTGATTTTATGAAAAGTAAAAATATTTTTCTTTTATATCTTTAATAATATTACTATTATATTTTTATTTAGGCTCTGGTAGGCGATAAAACAATAGCATTTTGGCTAATGGACGCAGCTATGTATACCCATATGAGCACATTGAGTGAGTCGAACCCTGTTATAGAACGTGGACTGGCTTTACACTGCATGATACGACTCATCACTCATGCCTTGGGAGGAGAAGCGTATCTGAACTTTATAGGTAATATCAGATAAATCTTAAGTTTTTGGACTTGAAACAACTCTTAAGAAATACTAATAATTTGTGTTAGTCATTTTTTTTTAAATAAATAGGGATACTAAATTCTAAATTACTTAAAAGTTAATTTTTCCTCCTTAAGGTGGAATTTCTTTTTTAAATTTTATGTGAAAGCACATACTTATTATATGAAAGAAGACTTATGAAAATTGATTTATGATTGATGAAAACGGCATAAATCTTTTTTGAAATCGGTCAAAAATATTAAACTAGCTAAAGTATTAACTTGTAAATATATTTTATTTTTTTTAAATCCATTTTAAAAGTATTTACGAACAGATATTATTTATACTTATTGATTTCACTCCAGGTAATGAATTTGGTCACCCGGAATGGTTAGATTTTCCACGGGCAGGAAATAACTCATCATATCACTACGCGCGTCGCCAGTGGCACCTCGTAGATGACGATCTCTTGAAATATAAATTCTTAAATAATTTTGATAAGGACATGAACGCACTTGAAGAAAAATATGGATGGTTGAGATCTAATCCTGTGAGTTTATAAAAATGTTAAAAAGAACAATAAAATAGGCTCTTAGTTTCATTATTTATATATTACTCATAATTACTAGAAAAATATGCATTTTTCTTATTTGTTCAGTAAACTTCATATTGCTTTACTTTAATAATGAAAACCTTAACAAAAACATTTATTATGTTTTTAGGCGTACGTATCATGCAAACATGATGGCGACAAAGTAATAGCCTTCGAACGTGCTGGTCTTCTGTTTGTATTCAATTTCCACCCCTACCAAAGCTTTACCGATTACAGGGTAGGAGTTGACGTTGCTGGCAAATATCAGGTAATAAAACGTAAAAATACTTTAAACAAATAATTACAAAAATAAAATTTATAATCATGTAAGTCTCAAGATCTTTTAAGTGCTCTATACTATTTCAGAAAATTATAGCTCTGTCCCCATCTGATATATAGTTTTCTTTGTCTAGCCAAATAAACTTGTATATATATATTTATAAAGTGAACCCTCAATTCATTAGATATTCAATATTTCGCTATTTTTGTTCTAGGCTGTTCTTTGTTCAGATAGTAAAAAGTATGGTGGATTTGGAAGAGTGGAGCCAGATGGTGAATTTCATCACACACAAGGCGTTCCATGGGGAAACAGGAATGATTCTGTGCAGGTACGTACCCAAATAAAAACAATAATCTATACTAATATTATAGAGGTAGTTTGTGACGTTCTAGGGAGTAATCTCTGGATTTACTAAACCGATTTAGATGAAATTTGGTAAGATAGTTTGAGACCCTGGGAAGGACATGGGATACATTTATCCCGGAAATCACCCCTTAAGGTGTAAGTGATAATGAGGATGAAAGTTTGTATGGGGAATCAAGTTTTAGTCATTTAAATAAAAAAAACTTTTAGATTGTTTTTAAATAATGAATTGTTTCAGGTCTATATTCCATGCCGCACTGCATTGGTGTATGCTCGCTGTGAATAAGTTTCTTATCTCATTGTATTATTGTAAATTTTATAAAAGTAGCTTGGAATATACATATTACATCAAAGAGTGTAAGATTAAAAGCATAATCAACTAAGTAATTTTTTATGGTTCCAATATGATACAAATGTTTTTTTGGATAAAATTTTAACTTTTGTTATGTATATTCCATTTGTAATGCTAAAATTGCCATAATATTTAGTTCAAATTTTATGCTTGGTTGTTATTTAGCCAAAGTGTTGTTTACATAGGTTTTATTTTTTATTTCTTTTTTTATTCTTGTTACAATAAAAGACTTATAAATAGTTCATACTTATATTGTATTTTCTAATAAAAATTATGAAAATATATGACTTTAACTTTATGCTGGTATACCAACAAGTAAATTATTTTTATCAGTACATGATAATGGTTTTAACCTTGATAATGTAACTTTGTAGCCAAATTCTTCAGCTAATCTGGCTCTATCTGAATCTATTATGGCCATACATCTAGAACCTCTTACAGTTAATGGGTGTTCTTTATGAGTTTGATCAGCAGTGTGACCGATGCACAAGTATTGATCTATCGACATATTTCTAAATACAGAACTTCTAGGGTATGCAAGTCTGTCAGTTGCATGGAGAGACCCATAACAACATGGGCACAAAACAAATTTTGCATTAGCTATCAAGCATTTATCTAAAACCAAGTCACTAGCTATTCCACATGCATGTAACGCAATTCCAATGTCAAATTTTCCTATAAAGAAGTCCAAATTACATTGAAAAAAGTATACATTCTTAAGACCCATTTTGTGTACCCTTTCTCTAGCTCTTAACAGAGACTGCTCTTTATTTTCAAGTAAAATGACTGTGCATTCTGGTAAAAGATAAGCAATAAGTATACCTAAATGACCACTGCCACTACAAAAGTCAACAATATGATTTCCGCTTTTTGCTATAGCTAAGACTGCTTGACATAAATTTTCTAATTGCTGTGATTTTCGGATTACTCTCTCATCTGGCAAATGACCAGCTGCAGGATTTGCGCCATCAGGAATAAGATCCCAATCAACGTTTTTGTCAAATTCTAAGTCGCTCATGTTTAATTCCATTCCATCTTCTAGAACATTTAAAGCTCTTTCTATATCCTCGGGTTTTGTAAACAATCTTCTTTTAGGATTATGTCTTTTAGGATCAGATTTGTATAGACTAACATCTTCTACTTCTGGTAATTCAAGAGTTTCTATTAAAACAGAATTTAACTGAATAGATTCTAACATTAGTTTAATATTTAGAAATTCTGTCATACTATTAACATTTTTAAACCACTTATATGTTAATGGAAGAAGTGATGTACATATTTCTTTACCTATAGTATTTATTACTATATGATATGTGGGAAGTAAGACTAGATCTGCAAGAGTTAAAAATGGTCCTTCGGCAAATTGATGACTTAAATTCAGGTCTTCAATTTTAGTAGAAGAATTTATTTCTTGTTCTTTTTTTACTGACTTCCATTTTCTGTGTTTAGGTACTCTCTTATCATCTCTTGATACTTCTTTATCATTTTGTTCTTTTTCAATATTTTCTTTTAAATTCATTTCCTTTTTTAATTCTCTAGCAACCTTAAAAACATTGTGTATCTTTACTGGTTTATTCAAGTGGTTTTCAAATCTTATCAAAGTCTCTGGTAGCTTTTTAATATGTTCTATACTCAGTAATTGTTTGGCAGTTTTAATTAGATCAACTTCACAGAATTTAGTCCAAATGGAAGTTTCATTTGGAGCTTGTAGACAGCCCTGTCTAAAACTAAGTAAGCCATCCTCATGTTCCTGAGTAGTTTTTGGAGATTTCTTGTGCTTACAAATATGACGAGATACTGCACATAAACCAGTTATAATTGTGTCATCAAACAACACAACTGGATACAAACATGACGCTACTTGCCATGGAATATTTTCCTTATCTATAAACTCGGCCAAGTCTACCTTCAGATCTAATAGTGTATTCCTTGTTGTGTCCTTAGAGCAAACGAAATATAACTTTAAGTCATCAGGATTACAATATTTGTACACACAATAAGTTATGAGTGATTCCAAAGACAATTTTAAAGTATATGTATTCCAGTATTCAGATTTTGACGTAAATGTTTCTAAATATAATTCTTTCTTCATTTTTTCGTTATTATCGTTTGTATAAATAATATATATTTTTAATAATATAACCATCTAGCTACAAAAATATGTACGATGTGAGATGCTTAAACTCATAGAGTATATTGCTAAATATATAAATGTCAATTGCGTAGCATTTGACATTTCTATACATATACAATAGACAGCGTGAGCAGAGATGTAAAAAAATAACCGATTTTTATATTAACCGATTATATTACTTACTCTCTTTTTTTTTAAAGTAAAAAAGATAAGATATGCGTTGTTGGGTTAAGTGAATGTAGCCAAACTATACATTTTAATCGAATTTTGCAAACAGCGCCATTTATCTGGTAAATGAAAAAACGCGTGGTCACTAAACGTAAAAAAAATTGTCAGTCGAAATATGGCGCCACCTGTATATAAATATTAATAATCGTTTTTTTTTACAAATCGATTCATTGTAAAGAGAGAAAAATCGATTATTTATTAATCGATTTTTTCCTCTCCAAGTCGCGTTCCTAGTATACAGATTGTGATGTCAATATAAAATAGGTACAAGGCTAATGTAAAGAATTAATGTCACTCGGATCCGGCTGTGTAATCCTAAATCAATTAATGACAGAAATCATATCAATGGGGAAGAATTTTGCTTTTTTCTTCCGCCAGATGCCGCGATCACTATGGCCCTCAGTATTTTGTAAAGTATATAGCGTGGTAGGTTTTTTTTCATTTTATTTAGAATTTAATAGAAATGACTAATTGTGCAGTGCCAGGATTCAAAGAAAACGGATATCATTTATTCCCAAAAGTCAAAAAGTAAAGAAATTGAGGGCTAAAGCAATAAGGCGACCAAAATTTGCGAAGTCACAATCTTTATATTCAAGGTTATGTGGACATAATTTTGCAGAAAGTGATTTTAAAACTCGTAAATTGTCTACAGGTGATTTTTTTTTTATTTTTTGTACTTTTTAAAAGTTAATTACAGAGTTTCGTAGAAACTTTCATCCCCCATTTTCCTCCCTCATGGGATTGAATTTAAAAAAAAGCCAAAATATGTATTTATTGGATTGTATTGAAGATCCTTAATACCAAGTTTCAAGTAATTCTGATCATAAATAATTCTTTACCCATATAAACTTTATTACCTCCTTTTGCCCCTTTAAGGGATGAATTTCTAAAAAAAAACAAAAAATACATTTCTTATTTTGTGACAAAAATTTCATACAATACCCCCTATTTTACCCACTTAGGGGATGAATTTTAAAACATCCATTCTTATGGATAGCTACATCATATAGGGAATACGTCCTCCAAATTTCACGTTTCTACGAACAACGGCTTAGGCTGTGTGTGATCCATCAATCAGTCAGGACAAACGCAGGATGCACCTCTCCTTCTCAATTATTCCTTCAGCTGGTCTAACTTCCAGGTATAATACATTGCACAGGTAAGATGTAAGCTCAATAGAAGCAAAAAATAAGGTATAAAAAAGATATCACAATAAATTGCTTAACCTCAGACTAAATGTAAATGGGCGATACATGTAGCGCCCTCCTTTCGAGAAATCTTTACCATTTGTGCGGTCAAATTTATTATTTTCCATTTTTCATTACAACTATGGAAAGTTTTACCCTCCATAATTACAACTAGGGTTTGTTATTTAGTTGTTTGGGCATTGGAGAAAAATATTTTTTCTTATTCATACAATAACTTAGCAAATAATAATTACTTCTAATTTATAATAAGTGACGATTTTCTACTTGTTTATGTACAATTTAGATTGCAATTTGTAAACGTAGTAGCTTAATTAAACGTGTTTATAAATAAAGATCATACTGATCTTATGTTTATTAAAGTTTAAAATCCATTTTGGTACTAAATTTAAAAGTCCATTACACGCAGATAATTTTATTTTTAAGAACTTTATTATTGTATTTTAATAGACTTAAAAAAAATTTACCATAAATTTTTTTAAATTAGATAACGTGTTTTTTTCTTTTATAATTTATAATTATTTCGTTAAAATGTGTCTTCTCTGAATATTTACATTGTGACTGATTCATCTATTATTAGACCTTTTCGCTTATACGTATAGATACCAGTATTCGGTGCAGGCGAGAATGTAGCCAGATGAACGATGTGAACGTGTGATAGTGCACGTGAACCCATTTTAGAACTTAGTGTTTATAGACTGTGCCTGAGGTCTGTCGTTGAAAACCGCGCCGCGTACATTGAGTGAAGTCATAAAGTGAACTAAAGTCTTGAGTGCGTAATAAGTTAAAAAAGTGTTGTTTTATAGAAAAAGCTATATCAATTTTATAAAACGCAAGGAGATCGTCAACTTTATCTCTTTAATCGTTATATGTTACAATTGAAATTTTGTGCATATAGTAAATAAATTCTGTGTAGACGTTGCTGTATGTGGTGGTAGTGTTTGTTTATTTATAGACGTAGTAATTGCAGTCATGTAATTATTGTAGTGGCGCTAAAATGTCTCAAAGGGATACCGCGATACATCTTGTAGCTGGAGGGTACGTAGATGTTACTTACTTCTAATTAAGTGGTATTATTATTTTTTTATGATACGCAATTGCGGTATTTGCATAATTTCGTATTGGTCGCAATAACACATGTGGGGCGTCTACATGCTTGGTATGTTTACTACGCATTCTTTATTATCAGATTTAATAATCTTTATGCTATGCCGGTTAGCCGTTAGGTATAAGACGATTTTTAAATAGAAACTTTATTATAATAAAAAAATATGTTTACATAAAAATTGGAATCAAAACAAACATTAAAATTTTAATGGAAAAGTTATCAAATTCAGTTTTATTACATGAAATTTAGATAAATCATTCCAAATATGTTAAATGTTGTATTAAGTATTATTTACCTGTTTATCTGTAGGAACAAACATTAATATGAGAAAATAAAGTTAACAGTATAAATGTTATATTACATATATAAGTTATGTAATAATAATATATTTCAGATTTATTCAGTGAGAAAAAAAGATAACTTTAATTTATAATTAGTAAAAGTAGTCTTATTTAACCACTATTTTTGATTTTTAGGTTCTTTTGTTTAAAATGGAAGTAATACTATTAATATATTGTCCCTAATTATGATAAACATCTCTACCTGTAGATAGATGAACATGTGTAACTTAAAATAAATATATAAAAGATCATAGATATATAGCATAGTTTCATTTTAGGGTTGCAGGTACTGCTGGGGCAGTAGTGACATGTCCCCTAGAAGTAGTAAAAACTAGGCTTCAATCTTCAAAAGGTGTGGGTATCCCACCTCCACCACCATCAGACGCAGCTAATTCAAAACGTGTTTGTTCCAAGATTCCTAAACATCAGGTTTGTTATTGGTCCCATAAGTCCCTTTAATTGAATATTGAATAATAAATATGTAATGTAAAATTTCCATATCAAAACATATTTTTTTGTCATATTGCTATTCAACCATTTGTTTGGAATTATGGTATTCAAAGCAACAATGAACATTGTTTACATGTCCTATATTTAGATCAAACTGAATTATAATTTCTATGTATGTATTTATTTCTAAACATAAATACAATATTTTTTTAAAGTACATAAGCTATTCGAAATATGCTAATAATATGCTAATAATATTTTGCTATACATGAAAATGCAACAAAATAAAGGATATTAATTATATTAAAAATATGTAAATACTAGCGACTCATCTTCACTCCACTTGGGTTCATCCCTAGTTAAGTTTTAACCAGTTATCGTCATACCAAATTTCATCAAAATCTGTCCAGTTGTTTTCTTGTGATGCTTTCCCAGACAGATAGACAGGCAAAAATTCCAAAAACTATAGATTCGGCGTCTGTATTGATAATAATAATTATTTCAAAAAAAAAAACAAAAAATATTGAATGTACAGATTTGACCCACAATTTTATTATATGTATAGATTTTGTTATACAATTTGTTTATACTAAAGTTAATGTATGAGTTCAGTTAAAACTGCTATTAACTACCATAAACTTAACCTTGCATTTAAATTGTAGAGATGACTGAAATAAACAATGATAAGTAAAGATAGGGACTCTTAGATACTATTTGTATAAGACAACCGTGCTTTATCTAAACATAATAACAAAGATAATTCATGCAAATGTTACAGGAAACAAAGCTTTATAGACACAATTATTCAATAGTGTATATTGTTGACATCCATTCAGTGATTAGCTAATTATTGGATATTAGGTATCTAGTTGCAGCCGCTTATCTAAATTGAGATCACAGATAAAGTAACATGTTTTTCCTATCTGTTATGTATGAAAATTTATACATAGGTATCATATAGTATAAAATAGTAGTAGCCGGTTTTAGTATAATCAATAAAAAAAAAAAAACAGAATTATTTGCTTTTTGTCGATGTTTAGGATGAAGTGAGGTGAAGAAGTTTCTTATAGAACAGCATTACATTTTATTTGTTTAATTGATTTCTAAACATAAATAAGTTTCATATCAAATAAATTTTGAGCTTTCAGTGCTTATGAGTCCCAAAGGTAATTTTAAATAGAACCTTTTGATTTTGGCAGAAGTGTATAAATAAGTGTATTTTATACACATAATATTTCTATGAACCTCTCCTTTAGATTCAACAAGGGTCACACAAACTCAATCAGCAAACTGAGTTAATGCAGATGAAGGATGAGGATGATATTCCACGCACTAAGGAGTCTGTCCAATACACACATGTATTTATTTAATTGTATTGAAGAGCATTAATACCAACTTTCAAGTAATTCTGACCATAAATAACTTTTGGGTTGTATAATAACGTGTTTTCCCATGGGAATGAGATAATCTCCCACGGTGAAAAGCCTTGTCACTCTCTAGCCCTCCAACTATCTCCACACAAAAATCACGTCAATCCGTTCTGACGATAAAGAAGGACAGACAGACAAACAAACACATTTCACATTTATTTATAATTTTAGTATGGATATGGATTGTTATTATTGATGATATTAATAATAATAAATTCTTTTTATCTATTTTATCTTTTTACTGAACCAGTGTCTTAGTTCTTCATATATTAAATAAAAATGTGATGATGTAAATAAAACTATATGGACTCATAAAATATTTAGCTGTGAATTCAGTTACTACAACTCCTGTGTATACTTATTTTCTTCATAAATCATTATTTACTATTGATTGTGTTAGTTGAGATGTTTAAACGCATGCCAGAACCATTTGGCGTGTTAGCAACTGATTTAAAATAGGTGAAGAGGTGTTCGACCGAATGCATCTTTCCAAATTTTCGAAATTTGTCAGCAATGGTCGATTAGGGTTTTGTTTATACATATAGCAATACCCGCGAATCGTGCGCGTTGAATTTGAAAAATGCATGAAATGCTGGAAGATTTGATTGATGGTAGACGTAATGGTACACGTTCCTTGTTTATTAATATTATACAAAGTAAACTGTACCGCATTTACGTAGCAAGACTCAAGTTAAGATTTGATTTCTAACTATAACTGTAAAATAATAAAAAAAAATATGACATCAGACACAAACATGTTTGGCATTTTGTTTTGAATTATGTTCTTAGTTGTATCCTTTGCAGTTTTAGGTACGTAGCCAAATTTTTATGAGCAAAATAACAGTTTTCCGACATTTTGTTGTGCGTTGTAAGACTAATTTATGTGTTTATAGATACATCTATCTATTCAGCTTTTTAGCGTCCCACTGCTTGGAGCCTCCCTTCAATATGAGGGGGACTAGGCTATAGTCCACCACACTGGCCAAGTGCGGGTTTACATGTCTTTTAAAAACTTGTTAGGTTCTCTCAGATATGCAGGTTTCCTCATGATGTTTCCCTTCACCGTGGATCTTATAGATACATACATACAAGCAATTTGATAAGTTTTTTATTTGTGTTTGTTTACCTTTAGGAAGAGTTTTTGTAATTTTGTAGTTTAGTACCTTTAGGTAGCTACAAAATGTAAATATTTATATATTACATTTGATTGTAATATGTATCTATAAAGATGGTAATTTATAAACATCTCAATCTTCAATAAAAAAAAACTTTCGCGAATAAATGTTGAATGCGATATATTTCGTTAAGTATTTATGAATATGTGTCAAGGATATCCAAGCACTGAGAATTCAGATAAAAAAAATCGTTTTACCGAAGCCATAGCTGTTTATTTCAACAATACAGCAATATAATAAGTAGTTTTGTTGCAATTTCTGTAGTAACTCGCAGTACGAGTCTATTTTTAATCCATACCGGTTAAACGCCGGCGCAAGATTCGCTTGGATCGATTCATTATTATTCAGACCTAACCTAGGCCGTCTAAGGGCACATTTTAATGAGACCGATGACCGGTTATCTCATCTCGCTAACGCGTAATATACGCAAGGCTACAATTACTGCATAGAATGTTTTATATTGAAGACACAAGATATTATTTTAATTAATTGCAAATATCGACTTCATATATATATATATATATATATTTATATATATTTTTTTTTAAAGACTTATCATATTTTTTATTTATATTATAATAACGATTACTGCAATGAACTGGTTTTTGCTCGTTAGAGAGGTTACAAGTCAAATTTTATTTTAATTTCAATTGATGATAATATATTTATTTGAATGTAATTACTTTTTTTTTTTAATTTTATGCATATTTAAATATTACAATATCATTATTAAACGAAGTTGTTCTCTAAGTTTTATTTTCTATTAAAATGAACATAACATGTATTTATCGAATCCTTGATAATAATGATATTTTTTATCTGTAAACATAATTTACTTCCGATTAATGCTATACAACACTAATTACCATCATGTGTTATCACAAACCTTGTTGTCATTTACCTACTACATACAAGTCAATCCCCTGACCGCGGTGACGTTACGTACTTAATTTTCTCATTCTGATAACAATGAGAGCTATCGTTGTTGATGTCATCAGTTGGCGCCACTGGCGAGTGGGGTCCAGGAGGAGACCAAAAATTTAATATAATAATAACAATTGCTAGCGCGGAACAGGTTTATCAGAATTTTGTTTTAAATAATTAATCTATGCTAATATTATAAAGAGGTAAAGTTTGCGAGATTGTGACGTTGTAGGGGGTAATCTTTGGATCTACTGAACCGATTTAGATAAAATTTAGTACGAAGATAGTTTAGAGACCCTGGAAAGGACATAGGATGGGGATCAAAGTTTGTATGTGGAATCAAGCTAGGGACGAACCCGAGCCAAGCGAAGGTGAGTCGCTAGTAATATATTATAACAAAGTAAATAAAATATTGCTTTTTTTTCTTGGCTCTTCTTTTAAAGTAATAACATTTGTTAAGCCGTACCGTGTCTGTCACAATCAATCAGGAATCGCATAATGTTTACAATAATCATGAATATTTAGTGAAGATCCGCGATGAAAAGCTCGCAAATAGTAAACTTTCAGTATAGTTTGACGTTTCCAGAGACCTTACGCTACACTAGCGCCTCTTGCAGCGAATTCAAGCGCAGTAGCCCTCATTAAAGTGGAATATTATTATGTTTTTATTTATACAAAATAGCTATGTTATTTTATTCGGTCTTTTTTTTAGTAATGTGTGTTATCTGTCTATTAGATAAAACACATTGTAAAGTATAGATTGTTTCAATCTTTCTGATAAGTTATAGTATTGGTGATTTTTGTGAGAAAAACGCCGAATCTATATACACTGTGTAGTTTTTAAAGTTATTCTTTTATTTTAACAGAACGTACATTATAATGTCAATTAGTTATAACTCGTATTGTAAAGTTTAAAGAAATTTTTTTTTCTTTGTGCAACTCTTCTCCATTCTACGACGATGGCAAAGTAAACGGTGCCCAAACGGCACTCCTAGAAGCCATTGAACATAAGAATTAAATTACCTATTTGTGCAACTTTTATAATGACTTTAGACTTTGCTGGTGTTACACTATAGTCTTGCTATTATCTAGTCCGGAATATAATATTAAAGGCAGTCGATGGGTGGTACACTTGTGCTATCGCAACTTAAAATCAAGTACGCTCTTAATTGACTCGGATCGAGATAAGTGATGACCTTCCCAATGTCATAGTGTATGAAGCTATTTCAAGGCCTCGCTGCAAATAGAGCTTGTTTTCTTTGATTGGCGATTGTTACGCATACCGACTTGGCGAATAAAGCTACTAGCGGTTTGTAGAGTCAACATATAAATCTATAATAATATAGTACTTATAATATATGTCTATAAATTATAATGTGATAGATTTTTGAATCGTGTTCTACATTTTAAGAAGTGAATCTATTCGTATATCTTAATTTACCCCATGAAG